CCGTCGTGACGGGTTGGTGATCATGTGTGTGAGGGGGAGGGTGGCGTACGACAGCTGCTGGTATGCGGTAACGGTGCGGGGGCTGGTGTCCCGTCTCACGTGCAGTCTTCACGGGACTGACACGAGCAGTCAGGCCCCATGAAAGGTGGGGAAACATTGGCCGCCTCCCGCCATCACCACCACCACCATCACCGGGAACCGTCTTGCGCCTTTAGAACTGCTTCGTTACGACTCCCTGGAGCCCCTTCCCGCCCCCCCCCCGCCCTCCCGCCCCCCAAAAACACACACACACCGGGTGTCCCCGTGTCCATGTTGCCCCAGGTGAGGACCCGTGGACCCTCAACCGGGAGACCGGCCAGCCAGCGCGAGAATGACAACCCCTCGGCAGCAGTCCCCACCTCCACATCCCCGGGGAACAGCAACATGTCGCCTGGGGGGGGTACCGGAAGGCGGGGGAGAGGGGGAGGGGAGTAGGGGTTAGGGCCGCAGCTGGCTGGCGGTGATGGTGGTGGCGGTGTTGTTGTTGGTGGTGGTGCATGTCAAATCGGAGGCGGCGTCATGTCCCTATGGCTGGAAGCAAAGCAGGCTGGCGGCTATCGAATGGCCCCCTCAGCCGGGCAGCAGCAGCAGCAGCAGCAGCAGCAGCAGCAGCAGCAGCAGCAGCAGCAGCAGCAGCAGCAGCAGCAGCAGCAGCAGCAGCAGCAGCAGCAGCAGCAGCAGCAGCAGCAGCAGCAGCAGCAGCAGCAGCAGCAGCAGCAGCAGCAGCAGCAGCAGCAGCAGCAGCAGCAGCAGCAGCAGCAGCAGCAGCAGCAGCAGCAGCAGCAGCAGCAGCAGCAGCAGCAGCAGCAGCAGCAGCAGCAGCAGCAGCAGCAGCAGGGCGGCCGACTGTGTTGGCCCCCTACTGCTCCCTCGGCCCTCGTTGGCTCCGGAACCAGCTTTACCCCGCGGAACTACCTCCTTCACTCCCTTCACCCCACTACTTCCTTCCGCCCTCGTTCCGCCCTGCTGCCTCTTGGCCCGCAACCAACAACGGCTGCGTGGAGGTGACCAGAGCCAAATACCCCTGGTGGCCCCTGGTGGTTAACCTGTGAGAGCCCCCAGCCGCATGGCGCCGTCCGATGGAGGGGGCCCTGCATGCCCCCTGTGTGCAGCTATAGGCTATAGGCTAGGTTAGGACTTGCTGAGGCAGGCCGGGAGGTAGGCTGGCAGCTTTCCTAATCGTTTGTTTACAGTTCACGGTTCTCTGGAGGTGGGGAGTTGGAGGAGGCTCGAGGAAACCCTGGGCTGTGTAGAGGGGAAGGGACGCTGCCAGCGCTTTTCACCTCTAGGTACCCGGATGAGTCCCGGCTCCTGATACAGGCCGTGAGTGTCGGATATGCAGACAGCCGTCAGGCGAGGACGCCGGGCTGTTGGTGGAGCTGTGGATGGGGACGGAGCCGTTGCGCGCATGGCGACACCAGAGCCGAGTTCAAGGATCCCTTGGCCTGCTGATAAAGCATCGATACTGCCATCGCTGGAACTGCCAACAGGGTTGAGGAGCTGGATATGTGCTTCTGAGTTTGTAAGTTCTTTATTATTTCCGCTGTGGCTCCTTGAGGTAATGTGCAGGCCCGTCAAGATAACAAGGATTGCCACAACCATCAAGAGTGCGCTCCGCGGGAAATGGCATTTCATCATGGTGTGCTGTGGCTCGAAAACCATTTTTATATTCACCTTATAACGTAAGGGTTGCTATGCCGTTTTGCATAGTGTATTATATACAGCACATATGCGTCGACAACGGCGCTGTAATTTCTCAAAAGCTTAACCACTAAGCCTTAACAGATATCGCCGAGTCGGATTAAATGAAGCCGGCAAGGTAATGCGCAAGTGTGCCCTGCCGGCCGCGCTGTGCGTGCGTCGCAACGCACGCCGTACCGGTAGGATTTGAACGGCCCAACCTCCCAACATGTCGCATCAAACTCCCGATCGGGAGCAATACCGACGATATGAGCAGAATGTACATTTAGCGCACCATCGAGCTTACATGAGTAGTTGAGACAACGGCGAGATGGGGAACACGAGACCCGCTGTCCAGCGAACGACCCACAGGCGAGTGGGCCAGAGTGCGGCACATGTATGGCAGTCACTAGAATGGCCCCGCTCGCGGCAAGCAATTGCATGCGGCTACCGCTGCAGTGGACACAATATTCACGGCGACTACTCTAGAAGGGCCCACCACCACCAGGGTCGAGCGTTGACCACAGCTCCGTGCGCCCGTGCGTCCCTTGTGCCTGAGTGCATAGGTACGTATATCTGTGCCTCCAACCGCGGTCTATAGACCTTCAGTCTTCCAGTCGCCAGATTGTTGAACCTATTTGCTATTCAAATCACGGTTAGTCGTGGACATCCGTGAACTCATGCCCATCAAGATGGGCCTTACTTGTCCGTTTCCTTATGGCAACATGAAGGCCGTAACTCTGCCGTCCAGGCTGGCTGTGGTGGATGGGGTCCCAGGGGCCAAGCTGGGTTGGGAGCCCCAGGGTAAGGCGTGTAAGTGTTGTCTTGCCTACAAGGGTCACAGATTACGTGTGGGGAGAAAGAGGCGCAGGTAGGAAAGCCCTTGATAAGTGGATTTCCAACTCGTTCCAGTTTTTCCAGCTTGCAGCCCAGCGCCGTCCAGTGCCGTACGCCCTCTAAGGCAGGCCATCATGCAGCCATAAATGGATGACTACTAGGACGCATAAGTCAAGGCGTCTCAGTCGTTACATGGAGAGAGTTACACGTCCAGGCAGGTCCGAGGCTCGGGGCCCTTGGGGCTTGTACACAAGGGATAGGATTATGCTGTCTGGGTGGCACTACAATCTATGGCACTGGAGGTGGCATCGATTGGAGTAACTTTCAAGAAAGAATGGACGTATGATAGCCCTGCAACCCGGAACGCCGTGAATTGGCGTACGATATCGGCACTAACGGCCATGCGAAGCCCCAAAAAACAAACGGTCATGGCACTATACGCTTCAGTTTTTAATTGTTTTGTCCAGCAACCTATATAACTGCACTGTATTGCACGTTTACGGTGTTCTTAACAGCCTAATGGACGGCAGGAGGCCTGTTAGTGGCCAATCCTTGCCAAGGAAACGTGCTGGTTACCACAGTGGTAAGTCAAGCTCCTTGGTAAATTTGTCTGAGTGGTTCGTGCCGCGGCGTATGCTGCCTCTCTGGTAGATGTGAACAGCTTTCAAGGAAGCGGTGCTTGGAATCATGACATCGACCAGTCGCACATGAAAGGGATAAAGAATTACGGTCACGAGCGTTGTTTATCGTGCAAAACGAACTCACAGGGGGGTTTGGCGGATGTTCTGGGCACAACAACCTGTGTGCACATCCCTTTAACATCGTACAGACCTGGTTTATCCATGCTAGGCTTACATCTCCGTCTTTGAACTGCTTTCGTTGGGATCGGATTGTGGCGGAGTACGCCTGCCTTGGTTAATGTCTCCGTTTTGCATATTGTCGTCATTTAGGTCAAGAAGGCGAAGGGGGTGACGGCGACATGCAAGGTGTCGTGCGAAGGCGTCGAGCTTGGTTGCGACGGGTTTTCGGCGACGATATCGATGAGAACGGTGACGACGATAATTGGTACAATCGTTCCCCCACGGAAGTTCCGCCGCCCCACGACATGGATGAAATCTATCATTTCCGCAGCAATGAACTACCTGAAAGAATCCCTGAAAAGATCCTGCAGCAGCAACAGCGGCTGCTCCAGCAGTTGATGCATAACCGCCAGGAACTCCGACAGCAGCAGGAACAGCTCCTACAGCAACCCCAGCTTCAGCACTTGCAGGGCACCCCCCTCATTCCGCAGGAGGAGCTCCAAGAGCCACTGCTTCAGGTGCAGCTCCACCCGGTGGAGCAGCGGCAACAAAACCTTCGGCAACTCTTGCCACAGCTGCAGGCAGCAGAAGCGGCCCAAGAGCAGCCGCGACACATGCTAAACTTGGGCATTCGGACAATATTTGAGCGCGGCCCAGGCCCATACTTGGACGGCGCCGGCGCCCCGCACCGGGGGGCCTCAGTCCACCGCGGCCTCGCCGACCCGGACCTGGAGGCTAACGAGCCCCTAGGGCGCGACCCCTTCGGACCCGGCCACCGCCGCATACGTGGTGGCATGGGCCCGCTGCTGGCGCCACCGCACGACCTGATGCCTGACGCCGCCACTGGCAGCGCCGCTGCTGCTGCTGCCGCTGCTGCTGCCGCTGCTGGCACTGAGGCAGCCATCGACGCCGACGCCGAGATGGCCATGGCCCTAGTCCTCGAAGAGGACATGGAAGACGATTTGGAGGACCTGCAGCAGCAGCAGCAGCAGCCTGAATGGGAGCGATGTCGCGGCAGCGGCGGTGAAATCGGTGAAGCTGCCCCTCTACGGCTCTACGGCGGCGACCCTGCGGACCTGGATCTGGCGCACGCGGTCCCGACCAACTCGATTAGCGCGGTGATGGAGAACTCCGACCTGCTGAAGACGGTGCTGATGGAGCTTCATGTGGTGGACCTGTGCCGGGTGGCCTGCGTCAGTCGGTTGTGGATGCGGGTGGTGCACGACCCGACCTTCTGGCGCAGCGTCAACCTGCTGGGGCGGCCCGTACAGCCCGACCAGG